TCTTGTTGAACCTGGTGATAAGGTTCTTCGATGGGTATCAAAGGAGACGACAACATCAGGGTTATGGGTAAAACTTGAAAGTTTGTACATGACTAAATCGCTTGTAACTCGACTCTACCTGAAGCAAGCTCTGTATTCATTCAAGATGATTGAAGACAAAGTATTGGTTGAGCAGTTGGATATGTTCAACAAGCTGATTTTTTATCTTGAAAATATCAATGTCAAGATTGATGATGAAGATCAAGCGCTATTGTTGTTGTGTGCTTTGCCCAAATCACATGATCACTTCAAAGAAACCCTTTTATATGGAAGAGAGTCCATGGCCTTTGAAGAAGTTCAATCAGCCATGTACTCTAAGAACTTGAATGAAAGAAATAAGTATAAACCTTCGAGGTTTGGTGAAGGTTTGGCCGTTAAAGGAAAGTTCTGGCGAAAGGATGGTAAGTTCAATAAGAAGAAATGAAAAAGTAAGAAAAAGTCTTATAGTGGCGAGACATCTGGTATTCAATGCTATCATTATAAGAAGGGGGTCACAAAAGAAAGGTGTTCCCTGAACTCCTGAAAGATCATGGAGGCAAGGATAATGACAATGAAATAATTGTTCAAGATGATTTTGACTCATCTGGTATCTTTATATTCGACACCAGGCACAAGCCATGAGCATTCTTCACAAATAGATCCTTTCTTCTAAGGGCTTTAAGTTCTTTCTGCATTTTTTGAAACTGATTCTGGAAGTCATCCATCATTTCTTCAACACATAAACATTCAGAAGGCTCACCATGATAGACTTGTTCATTTCCAAATGGAACAATATGCACCACTGGAAGAGGGATAAACATTACAGGAGGAGGGATGGCCATCCCATGAGGAGGAACATACATCGCATGTTGTACTGAGGGAACCTCAATAGTCGGTTGGTATCCTTCATACGTGAAGTTAATTAGCATGCCCCAAAGATATCCTTTAAGCATATGATATTATAGAGCGCTGACTAGAGTTGTAGAAACATGAGTGGTAACGATTTTAGAGATCATTGTAGTTGGAACTTGTGCTTGAGCAAAATGAGGAGATGGGTAGTCACCTCTTCACGGAGCTCATAATTCTCTTGCTCTAGTGTGATATTCATCTTTTCAGTGATTGGCCCGAGTGCCGCTTGACTCAATTGGAAGGAAAAGGCACGAGTAAGACTCTAGAATGAAAAGATTGAATGATGAATGGTGCATGATATGTGACACCAAGATGTTTCATTTTTTGTTGGTTTTCAAGGAACTCATTAATCATAAACTTGCAAATGTCATAAAGGACAGAATATTTTTGAAAATAGCTGAAAAACCCTCATTTCATTAATCATAGAAGGATTACATTCGAAGTACAATTTCAAAAAATCCTAAAACATGAGAGGAAAAAACTAGGTATTTTGGGTCCTAAAGAGCCTTATCTGACGAAGAACCAAATCCTCCTTGCAACTTGAGTTTCCTGATCTTATCTTCATAGAAAGCTTCCATCTCGGTCTTCTCGGCCACCAACTGATCAACAACTTTCTTCCATGCATTGGGAGCAAAAGTAACATTTATCGGATCTTCTTGTTTTCTTTTTCTTTCCCTAGAATATTTCTTAAGCATTGTATCCTTCTGACGAAGCTTTTCATCTTGCTCAACAAGCCAATTGTCTTGGAGAGAAAGTACATCTTTCTTATCATTCAATTGTCTATTCAAATCCCTCTTTTCATACTCAGATATGATATTTTTCTTCCCAGGTATCTCTCTCCAACTTCATTCGGGCCAAAATTTCCTGACACTCCTCCAAGTTCTCAATGGAAATGGTGGAAGATGAAGGCGTGACTGTTGGTAGAAAATGTTAGAACATAGTTTGATTCTATAATCCTCGTAATAGTTTTGATGATAACAAACACAAAGAACAAATATGCACTATAAATTTATGTTCTATTTTGTACAGAAGTTATGAACGGAAGTGGATCAGAGTTAAGCTACAAAGGTGTTCATGTTGTGTACATAGACTGATCTCATAATGTTCTGAAGAATGAAGATCAGAATCTGAGCTAAAGAGAAAGACATCTTAACTCTGAATGGAAGTCTAACGCTACAAACAGGACCTTATGATTCTGACTTCCTAAGTTCTGAAGCAAAGCAGCAAGCATATTTCTTATGTTCTGAAGTGTTACTATTCCATCAAAGCTGTATCAATTGCAACTGATACAAACAGACAAGGATCTTCACATTATGGAAAGTGCATTAACTGCTAATTATCATGTTTCCATTTGCACAAATTACTGCGCCTATTTAAACAAGCATCAAGGTTAAATCGTTCACGATTTACATCGCTGCTATCATACAATCTCTCAATGCTGTAACTGATATTCAAATTATTCTCTAAAATTGTGTAATACATCACAAGTTTGTGATATCGTTTTTGTAACGAAAAACATCATGTACACATATTAGTTCTTATTTTTGTTAGTGAATTTCCTTGAGATAAACCG